ATTTTAAAATATTTTTTTCCTTCTAATTCGTTATTCTTTTCAAAATAACACACTGTTATTTACTCACCAATAACACACAATTATCCTTGCTTTTATTTATTGGTTTAATTCCATAATCTCGGGCTTTTTTGGCGTCCGTCAGGAACTGAATTTCAAAATAAAAATAACCGGAAACAGACGTAGGCCTATAAGGGACATTTCGAGCATCATTGCGATTGTCAACATTTCTGAGTTTAGGATGGCCGAAGACACTACACTACCCATAATCCCCAGCTATCGTTTAGGACTACAGTCCCCGTACGTAAGGTTACGCAGAGCGTCAAACAGCTGTGTGAAATGGAACGAAGCCACGCCAGACTATCCAAAACTGGAATCGAACGCCCCCCCAGAACTACACATGCTGGCTATTGCAGCATATTGTTTCGCAAAATGTTCTATGGGACGTCTCTACTAAACATTTTCGTTTTTCCCACAATTAGAAGTTGCCAGTATTAAACACATTGGTGTTATCAAATGTAAAACATATAATTAATAAATGGGTGAAAATCGCTTGTGTCCATAATGCGCAGCATTAATACCCACATGACAGCTCATTGTTACTTTGTAATTCTACTCCACTACAATTCAGAGGTTAACCTGGTATTTTTACTCCACTGCATTTATTTGAGTTACTTTGCAGATTCTGATTAATTATGTGAAATATAAACAACCCTTAAATCAGACTTTAGTTACACCTGAGTAAAATTCAGGTAAGGTGATTGTCAAGTGCCAACAATCAGGAGAGATATTTGATAGTTGGTGCTTGAGAAGACTAAACATGTATCTGCAATTGACATGAATGGAAACGAGTAATAAAGTATATTCATTACTCGTTATTCTCTACTAATAGTTAATTAAAGACTGTATATTATGGCTATTTTGCACATTTTGTAGTTGTGCACATATACACAACTACGGTGTAGTTATGCAATTAATGAAACACTTGGGTCACAGGTTCCTCAACAGTGCATTACAAGACATCTATCAATATGTGTGTGTACCTCCACCATTAAACTGTCATATTCTGCACATTTCTTATTATATCTACATACATAAGAGTATAATTCATATGTATAATATCAGTTAAAATAAGTGCTTCAACATAGTTAACATTGCAGGAAAGCAATATATTAGACGTTAAGTACTTTGTCAGGCTTAATATTTATCTGTAGATAGATACCCCCAAAGTTTTTTTCTTATTTAAAAGAAGACCTTAATCTGTTATTTAATGTTTAAATAAAGGTTAATTCGTTTTTCTGTTTTGCACCTCCTCCTATTAATATCTTTGTACATCTGCACTAAACTGTTTTATTGTAGAGATCACTTAGAGTATCTTCTTGATTTTTTATATTCTATATTTATACTTTCCCACTATGAAAGTATGTACTCTTAATATTTTTTTAATCAAATATATAACACAATAATTCAATAACGTGCTTTAACCACTAGGAGGTGCACACAAGGTACACACAGCCATAATAACTTTGTATTATTAGTGTATGTTTTCGTACAACATCTGAAGATGTGTAGTTTTATGCATGCTTTCACATAATTTTACAGCATATTGCTATACTATTTCAGACTCAGTATTTACATTCTTACATTCAAAGAAAATCAGTAATATCTTTAAAAACTACAGTCCTTTTATATCAGCTGTGCACCGTTATGGTGTAAATATAACCTATCTGTGAATTAGATCAAATGTAAAAGTCAGCCGAATTAGTGTTGATACTGCAAGGAGACGTATTGTGTGAAGAGAAATTGAAGATGTTGTTTAATTGTTGAATATATTTATGATCCACGTCAAGTATTCAGTTTCGGCGGCATTTTCTCAGTTTTTTCCAAAGGTCTTCTCATCAGGGCTCTATAAATAAAGAACTACGGCAGATCTGTAATATACAATGCAGCCGAACCGTGTATTACAATGCCGTTATGTGATGACTTTCAAAGAGAAAAGCAAGAGCGCTCGGAATTAAGTATTCTTTTATTCTTTTAAAATGTTTTCCAGATTTCATATCATATAAACACCAAATCCCAGCATGCATTGCGGCTAAAACATCCAATAAACGAGTTTAAAACCATAGCTGAGGATCTTGGGTAATCGCTCGAAATGCCTACGTCTGTTTCCGGTTATTTTTATTTTGAAATTCAGTTCCTGACGGACGCCAAAAAAGCCCGAGATTATGGAATTAAACCAATAAATAAAAGCAAGGATAATTGTGTGTTATTGGTGAGTAAATAACAATGTGTTATTTTGAAAAGAATAACAAATTAGAAGGAAAAAAAGATTTTAACAAATACAGATTTCAGTATTCTGAGGCTCTGAGCCCCATTTATTTTCCTCACAGACGGCAACAAAAGTCCGAAATTATACGATTTAAAATAAAAGCAATAATTGTGGCTTGATATTGAGTAAGAACATGTTTTTATGAACCACACAGCTTCCGGTCTCCCACGACCCGACCGGAGAAAAAGACGTGCTGCAGGCAGTAGAAATACATTGCTTTTAAAATCGTGCTGTGCAACACGAAAAAAAGGGGCAAATCGTGTTGGTGAACACGAATCAATAGATTTAAAATCGTGTTCGTGAACAAGAAATGCCGTGAGACTGGGTTGGTATAGTATATACATTTTAAAAAGTGTCTTTAATGATATTGAAGATTTACTATAAGCTTCAGCCCTCTCTGCGGTTTTAGAGGTTATGCAGAGGAGGATTTTGATTTCTACAGTCATTGCAAAAATAGCAGTATTCAAATATATATTTATATCCAGCTACAGTACAATCATTTTTTGGCACTGACTTAACAAAAATTCTGGTAAATGATTAGAATCCTCAGTTATTTTCCTCTTAAGAATAGAGTGAGAGTCTCAACAGCTGTCGTAGCATTTAACTTTTTAGCATTTATGCAATTAAAAGTTTAATAATAGTATGAAAAGTGAATTGATTCCGTGTGAAAACCATGTTGAGTCTGTGAAAAGTCGACAGGCAACGTCACACATAACCAATAAGCAACTAAATATAAACACATTTACATAGATTTTTTCTCCACACATCAAGTCCAATTTGAGTTTGTGTGTTTGTTGTGCTTGTATCCATTAAGTACCACAAATTACTAAACTAATCCGATTCTCATGCCACAGAGTATTATAGACATGTACTTACCGTCACAGAAACTACAGATCATTTCCAGTCTGGTATTGATTTTGGAACAAGAGAATGAATTTGCATTGACTATGTCAGGCAATATATTCTTGTGCTGAGAAGAGCTTAAAGTTACTCATCTGCTGTATTCATGAATTGGGCAGCGTGTGGGCAGTAGCTGGAAACATGGTGGGCAGATAAAGCCGCGTTAGCAAGTGAGTTTTTATGAACTCACACACCCGTTGTGACTGGCACCGTCAACGTAAAGGTGAATATGTATTTACATGTCTCAGTGTGTATGTGGACCATCAGCATGTGTGTTTGTGTTTGAGTTTTAGTCCATATTTTGAGAGAGCTAGCAGAGCTGATCAGTGTCCATGCTGAGGGCTTTGTCACAGCTGACCTATATTACATGAAAGCAGCTGGATCAGTGGCCTGCAGGGACAGCAAAAGAGTTGTGTTCTAATTATCTCTGCAGCTAGCGACGCATCACAGTCGCGCACACACTCGCACAAGTATGCACACGCACACGCTTTTCGGCAAATCAATTGGAGCTCATGAGAGCATCTGCCATGCTCTGCTTGACGAACGACAGCGGCAGATCCTCTGTTTGGAATTGGCAAGGATACAGCGCCTCGTGTCACACAATGCATATCAAAGACCTTGTGTGATCATGGACCATGCACTTTGGTCTGTGAATGCGACTGTGTGTCACAACTCTATTTTACTAAGCAAAATGTAATTACAAGGTGATGTGCTACTACAATGAAGTCAGCCTTGTGTTGTGTCATTCAGGAATTGTAGGAATGCATACAGACATGTTTTAGAAAATTCCTCACTAAATTCAAACTGTAAGTGTCTGGGTATAAGCTGCTGTTGCCATGGAGCCTCAAACCAACACATGCAGAGGTTTTGCGTTAGCTATAATGAGGCAGAAAATGACAGAGCGAAAACAGCCCAGGGTGCTAATGCTAACAGCTAATAGGAAAAACTGGACTAATTGTTAATGGAAGGGTAATAAAGTGTGTGGAACCCCATGGCATCCTTACATGTCACTGCAGTTAGCTTCTTAGCATTTAGCATTCAGCTCACTCAGACACATCAAGGACAAACGTGCATCACTTTGTTCTCTCTTTTGCCCAATTATTTCCATTTAACACATTTGTATACACAAACACACACGGCCGAGTCGTGACACCAGGTGACACATTTTCTGTGTAAGACCCAGTGTGTATTTTTTCATGTTTTCTGAAGTCCAAGTGATTTCACACATTCTGCTACCAGGAGGAAATTGGATGCAGCATGCACTCAATTAAGCTGTTAGCCTCTAAGATTGCTCTGCTCTCTCTTTCTCTTGACTGCCTCTTTTTCTTTCCGACCCTCACTTCAGCACTTACTTCCCATTACTAATCTTGCTCTTTCCACATGCACTTCACTGTTCTTATGCTTCCTTTGACCGTCCATTTGTGGATCCAGGGCCTTTAGCACTCCAAGCAGGGGAGCTGTATCCTTAGCCATGCAGTCAGGGGAGCGTCTTGTTTCAGGACCAACGAACACAGCGGCACATTTTACACCACATTGAATCTGTAGGCACCGCCGGGGACTGTTTTACAGGTCGGGGCTTATGAGATGGGGTGATTTCCCCATGACAGAGAGAAACTGTACTGTACCTTCTTTAGAGGAATGAAAGAGAATCAGTGCTTACTGCTTCCTGTCAGGTACGATTGTGTTTGCATTAATCCGCTCATTTGAGCATTTTGCAGTTTGAGCTTCTCTGATGATTTTCTTTTGGTTTTTCATTTCCTCTTCCTCTCTGCAGAGTGACTGAAAGCAACTTATTTAGCCGGCCGTTTCTACCTGACGACATGGAGCACCATTTCCTGATGAGACTGTGGTAAGTATGCATGTGAACACACAAGCACACACAATCACACGTGTAATTCCTGCAGCTACTTGCCACCTGTACCCTCACATATAAATCCCATTTCTGTCTTGTGCGTCCTTGAAATTCATCTCCTGAAGGAGTACACAAGGGTTCCCAGTGGAATCTCTCAAGAATTAACCGGCGGCAGTCGAGCCGCTTTAAGCAAGTGTGGATCTGAAGCGTGCCACTCACTCTGTTCTCTCTCCTCGGTCGCTAGTATCTTGTGTTTGATCTCACGCGTGAAGTAGTATTGATTGAGTTCCTCTTTGTAGATGTTGTGCTTTTGAAGCTGCAGTCCATATTCATGACAGAACACAATTTAAGTTGTACCTACCATGCCTGGGATGGGAATGCTGCTTTTCAGAGGTCACAGGATGCACTGTTCGGGCCTCATACAGGAAGCATAACACAAACACATTTCCTCTTATTTTCTTTCTTATTTTGTTATAACCAACTGATTTAGAATTTTCCAATTTCCTCTTATTTTTGCTATTCTCTTTGGTAAAAGAAACTTTGATGTAGGGTTAGAGCACTCTTACCAAGATAAGAACAATTATTTTGTTTTTCAGTCCACAAATTGTTTGTCCAGCAAGAAGAACATGTTTTTCAGTTTTAGGAACAGAGGATAATATATATATTCTAAATGTGGTTATTATATATTCCAAAGAAGACGATAAGGATGATATTGTGTGCTTTCAGGTGCTGAATGGCTGACATACTGCTCTTTGAGGTTTTTGTTATTTTTCTTGTAACGCCAGTACACGAATATCACATGTTAATTTTGTAAAACGTTTTTTTGGCAGTGGTATTCAGCACGACTGAGATCAGGTTTGGATGGTAAAGAATGCTTGGTGCATTTAGAGTTGATTGGTATTATTATTTTGTTTTTGAAGAGAACATTTTCGATAGTCTTGCGCATGAGGCTTATTCTTTTGTAGGAACCTTGACACGACAAAGCTGGCCTTACATTTTGGAAAACGATTAGTGAAGAGAGTGATACAGAAAGAAAGGAGATACAGATGACAGACAAGTGCTGGCTGGCACAGTAGTAAAGTAAAACGTAGCAGGCAGGGCCGACCGATTGTGCTGGCCCGAGGTTGTACTACTATTCTTAGCCTTCGTCTCCTCCTTTCTTCACTCTCTTCTCCCCTCCGTTCTTCCTCCGGAGTCTTTTGTTACCGCTGTGACGCCGACGCTCTTCAGTCCATCTGGTGTCTGGAAGCACTCTGGATCTATGTGCTGCTCCTCTTTAATTGGCTAAAACCACTTAACTATTTGTCATTTGGTTTATTTATTTGGTGTATTGTGTGGAAGTTTGGGGGAACACATATAAAACAAATACACATCCTATCTTCATCCTGCAAAAAAGAGCCATACGAGTTATACATAAAACTACGTACAGAGAACCAACAAATAAATTATTCATCAAACTAAACACACTAAAACTACAAGACCTGGTTGACTATAAAACTATTCAAATGATGTTCAAAGCCGCAAATCAACAATTACCTCATAATATCCAGGGACTTTTCATACGGAGAGAAAGCATGCACATGTTGAGAGGAAACTGCATTTTCAAAAAACCACCCGTACGAACAAATGCCAAACTTCATTGCATCTCATCAAAAGGTGTTAGTCTGTGGAATAACTGTGATGATGCACTGAAATATTGTACAAGTCTATCTAAACTAAAAGTATTATTTAGGAGCCAAATCATTAATGGTTATGAACAGGACCTGTAAAATCCCATTTGTTGTTATTTCTTGTAATTGTACAAGTAATTTCTTTCTGATTGTTTTGTAAAAAAACAAAAAGCAAACAAATTAACAAGACAAACATGTCGCTGATGACGATGACCTAATATTTTATTTGGAAGAAAAATATATGCTAGAGGGGGTAGGACCAGAAAAGTTTTTTTTAAGCTTCTTCTTGCCCCTGTTGAACATGATAAATGTATGATCTCTTCGATTTACACACGGCATCTATTGCACGTCTGTCCGTCCTGGGAGAGGGATCCCTCCTCTGTCGCTCTCCCTGAGGGTTCTCCCATGTTTCCCCTTAAACTGTGGGTTTTCTCCGGGAAGTTTTTTCTTGTATGATGTGAGGGTCTAAGGACAGAGGGTCTAAGGACAGAGGGTCTAAGGACAGAGGGTGTCGTTTTTCTCAAACTGATATTCTGAACAATCTGTGCAGTTGTATTTGCTGTAAAGTGTCTCTACTGTAGGCTATTTTTATTATATGTACAGCACTTTGGCTCGACCAAAAATCGTTTATAAATGTGCTATATAAATAAAACTTGATTTGATTTGATTTGATGACAGAGACTATTTGAGAATGATTATTGTTTGTTTTTTTGTATTGTTTTTTTTTGTTTTTTACTTTGTTATAACTATTAATTTGAGTGAGAAAAAAAAGGAAAAAAGAGAATATATATATATATATATATATATATATTATTGTTGTATGTTTTTGTTTCTGACATGTTCAATAAATTGACAAAAAAAAAGAAGAAGTATCTTAGTATCCATCAGCACCTCAGCTGATTCAGTCATGCACCCCTCTGTTTTGTTAAGTCGGATAAACCAGACACCTCTAAGGATTCTGAAGGGCCATTAGAGACATTTCCTGTGAGGTGATGGTAAGGCAGGATGGATTGTGATGCTTTACACAAGTGAAATTACCGAATCATCAAAATGTAATAACCGGAAATCCTTTGCACTGTTGCTACGGTGATATTCCATGCATGTTATATCTGTCAGGGCCATTCACTTCTGACAGGTGTGTGTGTGTGTGTGTGTGTGTGTGTGTGTGTGTGTGTGTGTGTGTGTGTGTGTGTGCGCGTGTGCGTGCGCACGCGTGTGTGTGTGTGTGTGTGTGTGTGTGTGTATGTGTGTGTGTTTCCCCTGCCATGTCCATCGGTTTCTATGTGGAGCCCTTTCAATGTGAAGCATCCTACTCATTGCACGGCCACTTATAGATCTTATTCAGTTCAACTTACGATTTAATTTTTTTTTTTCATTAGTGAAGCCTAAATGCATTACATGCATTGAATCGCATATACCTTGTGAGTTTGAACAATTCATCTGAGTGTTTATGAGATAATTACTGAAGTTCTGCAGCACTTATATGTATTTATTTTTGTGGTTTTAGTGAAATACTCCATCTGTTTGAAGTAAAAATGTTGAAAAGATTATAGTGGACATTTGTCACCTGTGCCCTCACATATACAAACCACAAAAACTAAAACTGCTTTCTTTGGAAGTCATTACAAGACAAAAAGGTTGTAAACTTTTGGTTTAATCGTTAACAATACATTTAAGCTTCGCGTCGGGCCGAACCACGCCCCTTAACTGTGATATAATAGGCGCTTTCACACCGGAGTACTTTTCCCGTTTAATTCCGTTAGTTAGTTGTTTGCGGCCTGCAGAAGAAGCAGAAGAAGAAGTGACGTCAGCGGCTTCATTTGCGTAATCTTCCCTCAGGGAACTTATTTCGGTGTGAACACGATCGGCTCTTTGTTCCATGCGGGTACTAAGTGCTGGGAACTAAGAGCTGGGAAAAGTACTTGGTGTGAAAGCGGCTAGTGACCATATACCACGGCCTGAAGTGAGCTATTGCTTTTATAAAACGGTTACCAAGTGTGGCAATATGAAAGAAAAATACACACTCTAATTTAAATAGTTTGTATTAGTAAATAATGATGTTCAAAATAAAATAGTCCCTCCGTTGCCTTCTGCACAAAACATAGTGCGAGGTGGTTGCTATGCAACAGCACTAACAGCTAGCGAACATATTAGACAGAGAGTGTTGATCGATTATTTGGCTATTTATTTACATTCATGTGTATGTTGCCGTTTATTGTGCACCCACCATAGACTGTATATATAATATTCAGTGTATGTCAGGTATGTCAGGAATATGCATTCTGAATTCAGTGGCACCCACTGAAAAACTGTCCAGCATCAGTAGAATGGCTTACGTGGTTACTTGTATACAGGGCCTGGCCAACTTGGGGCCCCAAGCGACATTGTGAGATGAGGCCCCCAACCGACAGGAGTGAAACATTTAATTTTATAAATACTATATTATTTTATTATTGTAATATAGTCAAGACAAAACATGCCTATGACATGCTCAAAAAACTGATATTTCTTAAATCTGTATTCAAATGTAGTTCCCTCTGTCAGCAATGTATCAACAACTACACACACATTTCTATCAGTATTTCTCTGTGTTGTGGTTGACATGATGAGGACTGTTAGGAGTTAAGGGGAGAGGCTGAGCATCACCATCAAATGTGCAAATTGACATAAAAATGAATAAAAGGGGAAAAAATGCTCCATGTTTTTTAGGCTGTAAACTTTAACTGTTATGCAAGCCAACTAGACAGACAGTCAGGGCCAAATGCAGACACACACTATGACTCGCGAAAGTCCGAAATGACCACCAAAACAGAAAGATATGGACACAAGATGTGTGCAACTGTATTTAGTTTCCTATCCATTTGAACATGATTTAAGTGGGGGGGGGGGGGGGAACTCACCTCCTCTAGGGGAGTCCGGGGGAATGCACCCCCGGGAGGACTTTTGTTTTTTAATATTGAAGTTAAAAGCATCAATCTGGTGCACTTTGAGAGCAACATTAGGAGATCTATGGATACATCTCTCAACACGATATGAAACAGAACTGTAAGCAGATTTTCTTTTTTTTAATGGATATTTTACAAATCACTCCCCTTTCAAACTGTATTCTTTTTTATTAATAACAACTGTTTTGTACTGTCATATAGTATTTTATACCTGTTTTTCACCTATTCTCTTATTTTTTTATAACTATAATGATCATATAAAGGTGTGCCTTTACCTCACTGAGCTGAGGTTATCAGAGCCTCTCAGTCTTTCAGGAGAGAGCTCTCTAAAGCTCTCCCCCCACGGCCGCTTACAATGTAAATTCCAATGTTAATAAAAGCA